CGGCTTTCTCGCACTATGCGAACAAGTCAGCTACATGCACGAAGCGGAGCGGGTGGACCGTTACGTCGGAGGGCTAAAGCCGGACATATCGCACGAAATTATGCTACGCGGGCTCTCGAATTTCAACGAGATCCTCGCGCTCGCCGAGAAAATCGACAACCTACGACGACCGAGATCGGGGTCCTATTACGGACAACGTCCTCGGGGACCGATCGAGCACGCCACCGTACACGCCGTTGCGACGAATGCAGCTGCCGCAACATTTAAGGGGCGCTGCTTTGCTTGCAATAGGCCGGGCCATCGCAAGAGTGAATGCCCAGAGGAGCTGAGGCGCCGCGGAACAGAGCAGGGGCGAGAGTCTCAGAGGCCGGGAAACGCCAGCAGTCAGTAGAAGTTGGGCCAACTACTGACGAGACTGCCTGCTCGCCCAACTTCACCGACCCTCACCGAGTCACGGTACCGATTCACGCTATCGATCGGGCTCGGACGAATAAGGAGGGTACAGCGACGGATTGCCCAGTACCGATTCACGGGAAAATACAGGGAGCAGTAGTGAAGATCTTTATAGACGGAGGTGCAAGTCACAGCTTAGTTAATACCGCGACTGCAAGGAAGTTGCAACTGACACTTAGTCGGTGCTTACCAGAGATCGATGCACGTCGTCGATCGGTTGACGAAAATGGCACATTTCGCAGCCTGCAAGAAATCGATCACAGCCGAAGAAACGGCCTGCCTCTTCATCGCAACCGTTGTTCGATTACACGAGATACCAGCTGCGATCATCAGCGACCGTGATACGAAATTTACCAGCAATTTGTGGCGGAACCTGTGGCAACAGTTCGGCACGAGGCTGCAGTTCAGTTCTTCGTACCACCCCGAAACCGACGGACTGACAGAACGGACAAACCAGACCATGGAACAGTTAATCCGAGCCACGTGCGACGACCCCACCACCTGGGAACAGCAACTGCCACTAATCGAATTCGCGTACAACAACTCGCCCTCCGCCACGACCCAACAGTCACCATTTTACCTGAACTACGGACAAGACCCTACAGTACCCATGACCCCGAATCCCGACAACCCGGTGCCACGAGCGCAACAATTTGCAGAAGTCCTACAGGAAGCACGGACCAGGGCAGCAGACGCAATTAAAAAAGCCAATGTTATCGCTAAACGTAACGCCGACCGCCACCGCAGACCCGTCACTTACCAACCCGACGACTTAGTTCCTCTCGACACCCAAAACCTCCGCCTGCCCATAACTCCGAAACTTCGCCCCCGATATTGCGGGCCATTCCGCATCAGCCACATGGTCACACCGGTCACCGCCCACCTCCTCCTCCCCGCTGACTGGTACGTCAGCCCCTCCTTCCACGTCAGCCTGCTTCGCCCCTATATCACATCCACCAGCCAACTGGCCCGACATCGCCCAGCCAGCATGACCCGACCACCGACCGAGCCAGTTATCACGCCCGAAAAGATTCTGAGCCACCGAGTTCGTGACCCACGAGGAGCCCGAAGGGTCGAATTTTTAATACGCTGGAAAGACCCCACGCCCACCGAGGACAATTGGGTTCCCCTGGACAAAATAAAAAAACAACCTGTCCTCAACGAGTAATTGCGCAGCAGAAATTTCCGGGATATACACGCGCTCTCGTAAGGGAGGCCTCCTTGAGGGGGGGGGGTAAGTGTAAGGAAAATTCATTTTCCTTACTTCGCGTCCCTGCTCAGCGCGTACAACACTGACAGCACCCCACAATATTCCGTTACCACTCGCGACATTCGCCTCGACAACATTCCCGCCACTGTTCACGATGCGACCCAACCTCACGGTTCGGCTGGTAACCCGCGCCCCGGACCTCCGCCTCGACAGTTCCCCAAACCTCGGCACTAGGCCCGTCGCGCACACCATTTTCCCACGTTACCGTCACCACCATAGTTTCGCTATATATTCTTCGCTCATTCCTTCGCTCATTGTCTTTTTGTCTCGATAGTGCAATCCTCGCTCGCTCACTCAATTGCACTCGTAACAGTATGCTATTGTAATTGAAGATACACCGATTGATTAACCAACTTATTATAAGCTAGGATATAACACACTCACAACACAAAATATCTTGTAAATGTGCAGTGTATGCGACGCACTGCAATGGGGTCAGTGATGCCAAAGGAGGCCACGTAACATACTTGACGTGGAAGCGTCAGCACGCAACTGGCAGCCGTCAGCCACGCATTGCAATCAGAAACCGCACGAACAATGCGTCTCGTCACCAACACTTCGACATCCGGTTACCACAGCGAAGCACAAACTTGCTATAATGGAGTTTCTTTCGCCTAGACCCGGTTTCGTCAGTACGTCTCTTTTCATCGCTAACTCCATTATCCGTTTCAGGGCACGAAGGAACTCACGAAAATCGCAGCCAGTCCATGACAAGCACATCTCACAAATGTCGACGGCGGCGCGTTCCGTCTCCTTGTGCAAGACAGACCACGCAAATATGATTGCGAAACCACGAAGCACACCGCATCTAGCGAAACCTTGATTGTCGCGAACAAGCAGAATCCGGCAAGCGAAACGTTGACACGAATTTAGGCGACCATTCTCGTAGGTAACCTAAATCGGCTGGTAACCTAAAGCCGGTAACTTGTATGCATCTTTTCCCTCTGGTTCTTGCTGATCCCTATTTCTAGCATTTTTTCACGCTCCGGCTTTGTCCAAGGCGTAGGATCCAACCAGCATAGTGGGCATATGGAGAAGAGCGAAGAATTGGACTAGAAAAAACGTTCAGAAGTGCGCTTTGGCCCATGAAGAATCTTTTTAAGGCAGAATTTCGATGAGAAAATACAGGTTTAGTAGCCCAACATATTAGATTCTAGACGACAAGCAATGTTCCTGGGGCTTCGGGTCATCATTTTTCTCGTGTGCTTCCATGCGACAGTTAACGGGGGTTTCTTTGGCGAAGCGAAACACCTCCTTTCAAAATCCTCTACTTTCTCTGACGGAATCGGATCCTGCACTAGTTACGGGGGGCTCGCGAAATATGATGGCTCGGTGGTAACCAGACAACTCGTCCGAGGCCTTCGATCGAACGGCTTTGAGCTTTTCTCGGAGATCTTGAATGATACAGGTGCGAATAATATCAGGAATCTATCACTGATTTGTCCCAGTGGGAACGTTCTTTTGAGATTTACGAGATATACTACATTCCCGCATTTGAGGCGGTTCGGAGCCCAGGTTGAGATTTTCAGCAACGCGAATTTCCTGCGACGCCACTTTATTCGCCCCATCCAACGCCGCCATTTGCGTTGCGCCTCGTGCGGTGACTCTAAGAAACACAGCCGTTCACACACGCTTGTCCAACCCACCCCCTCAGGTGCCTCCTTCCTCACCTGCCGCGACGCCACCGTGCTCGCCCTAACCGACGCCGCGATTCACGCCTTTCCATCTCCCCTCCCCGCCCTTCTCAACACTTAATACAGGCCTTCTCGCGGAGCTTCCCTCCTTCCTCTCCTGCCGCGACGCCACCGTGTTCGCCCCAACCGACGCCGCTATTCGCGCCTTGCCTCGCGCGGTGGCGCATCAGTTGGGGAACGACGTGCAGCTTCTGCGAAACGTGGCGCTTCTGAACTTCGTGAGAGGCAAGAAACGGCTGGCGAAGCTCGTTTCGCAAAGGCGAGGCCACCAGGTGAGTGGGGATGAATGCCATTTATTGGGATTGGGAGCTGCGCAGCAGCTAGGGAACGACGTGCAGCTACTGCGAAACGTGGCTCTTCTGAACTTCGTGAGAGGCAAGAAACGGCTGGCGAAGCTGGTCTCGCAGCGGCGAGGCCACCAGGTAAGCTAACGGTAGTGACACTGTTTTGTGATCTGTCCCTACATATCCTGCCCACGCTGCTCATTTTATTCTCTCCTCCACGCCCCCCTCCCTTCCCAGTACGTCACACTTGCGTTCAACGGTACTCAGCGGCTTAAGAAGGCGTCTCTTAAAGGGAACTGGAGTGTTAGAGTGTACACCGATAAAGGGCCGAGGGTGACTGTAACGAGGGGGAATGTTGTGATGCTGAGATCAGTGGTTGTGCATGGAGTGAACGACGTGATAAGACCAAAGGTGCTTGTAGCTAATGTAAGAAAGGTGGGTGTACACGGAAAAACGACCGAAGGTGACTGTAACAATGGAGAATGTTGTGCGACTGAGGTCAGTGGCTGTGCAGGGAGTGAATAGGATGATGTAAGACGAAAGGTGCTTGTAACAACGGCAGGTGTATGGGGTCGATGAGAGAATTTGTGGTTGTAACAAGGAGGAGTGGTATTATGTTTGGTTCGTAGCTGTACAGGGCATTCATTGGATGATAGGGGCAGGGATGCTTGTAAAGAAGGACGATGATTGTGTTTGTAAGGAGGATGAGTAGGTGGAGGATGCAGTATAGAACATGTAGCTTCCCATGGTGGAGCTTTCATTGTGTAGTCGCTCATTTCATATTTATCTGTACCATAAGAAGAACGTTCTGCTGTAAAAAAATATGTGCCAAGAGCTTTACCTGTGCCGTGCAGCAGGGACAGAGCTCCTTAGCATGTACAAACATCTGAAGCTGAAAATGTTACAGTACAAGGTATTGCAAGCCACACTCGCACGGTACACCTCACAGTGCTACAGAGCCGTTTATTACCATACACGAGCCTGCATATTCATATTACCAGAGATAATTTTGAACAGCAGCCCTTGCAGCACCCATGAGTTTTCGTACTCACCTTGTGACTTCAAATATAATGATCGGTGAGGTACACCTTTCTGTGGCTCCCTCTCTCAGATCCCAACGATCATTCAGTATTTCCAGGCGGCAGTAAGGCAGACTCATCCTCTCGGTCTAATTGTCATAATCCATGTCCTCCTCTCCGTTGCTCAGATCCAAACATTCCCATCTTCAAGGCACCTCAGTCACTCCTCCCCTTCCCTCCCCCTCCTCCTCCTACTCCTCATCCTCATCCTACTCCTTGATTAATTGTCATAATCCATGTCCTCCTCTCCATTGGTGAGATCCAAAGATTCCTTTAGCGACAGCTTCTTTTTTGCCCCAGTCAGCTTGCTGCCCGGAATGATCACCTTGTCGATGCCGTGGACGGCGGAGATCATCAGCAGCACCGAGTCAGGCTTCGTTATAGTCACGTTTTTGCCGCCCTCCGCGTGCAGCTTGACTGGCTTGACTTTCGTTTCTGTGGCCTTGAAGAGCCCTGCTTCTCCGTTCTTGGATGGGGTTCGCCACTGGAGAGGGGAGAAAATGGAAGGGAGGGAACCAAATACATAGCTTGACTGGCTTAACTGGGTTGACCGGATTGACTTTCGTTTCTGTGGCCTGAAGAGACCTGCTTCTCCGGCCTTGGAGGGCGTTCGCCACTGGGAGGGTAGAGGGGAGGAAAAGGGAGAGGAGGGAAGACGGGATGGAAAGAGAGGGGAGGAGAGGGAAAGAGAGGGAAAGAGAGGGGAAGAGAGGGAAATTCACACACGAATTGACTGGTTTGACTGGCCCTGCTTCTCCAGTCTTAGAGTGCGCCACTGGGAGGGGAGAGGGGAGGAAAAGGGAGAGGAGAGGGGGAGGGCAAGACATACACTGCCTGACTAGTAAAGAGAAGCTTATAAAGAGTACAGAACATCGTACCTCGTGCTGCCTGCATGTGCGGATGCGATCTTCCTGCCCTTCACGATGTGCAGCATCGTGATATCCCGCATCGCCGCCTTGCTAGCATTTGAGTACACTGAAGCACCACATACCTCGTGCTCCCTCTGCATGCGAATCAGGGTAGCAGCGGTCTTCCTGCCCTTCACGATGTGCAGCATCGTGATGTCCCGCATCATCGCCTTGCTCAGCTCAGCTCAGTCAGTGTGACTGAGCCCCTTGGTCTCACTCGGGGCAGGTAGCTTTGAGACGTCTCAAAACGTCTCAAAAGTTGAGACCTCTCAAAACTGCATCGTGATATCCCGCATCGTCGCCTTGCTCAGCTCAGCTCAGTCAGTGTGACTGAGCCCCTTGGTCTCGCTCGGGGCAGGTAGCTTTGAGACGTCTCAAAACGTCTCAAAAGTTGAGACCTCTCAAAACTGCATCATGATATCCCGCATCGTCGCCTTGCTCAGCTCAGCTCAGTCAGTGTGACTGAGCCCCTTGGTCTCGCTCGGGGTAGGGAGCTTGGTGCTGGTTTTTGAGAATTCTCAAAAGGGAGCTTGGTGCGATTGAGGCCTATCTTTTTCATCACGGAGAAGCTTATACCGAGCGCAGAATCCTCTCACCTCGTGCTCTCTCTGCATGCGAACGAGGGTAGCAGCGGCCTTCCTGCCCTTCACGATGTGCAGCATTGTGATATCCTGCATCGCCGCCTTGCTCAGCCCCTTAAGCAGTGCAAGGAAGAATGAGGGTGCATCGTATTTCTACTTACCTCATGCTCTCTCTTCATGCGAATGAGGGTAGCAGCGGTCGTCCTCCCCTTCACAATATGAAGCATCGTGATATCCCGCATCGCCGCCTTGCTCAGCCCCTTCAGCAGTGCTCTAGGGGAGCTTGTAGCAACTGAAGCCTACCAATTTCAACACAGAGAAGCTTATACTGAGTACAACAGAGTACAGAACATCGTACCTCGTGTTCCCTCTGCATGCGAATTAAAGTAGCAGCCGTCTTCCTCCCCTTCACGATGTGAAGCATCGTGATGTCCCGCATCGCCGCCTTGCCACTCTGCTGCCTTGCTAGCACATAGAGTACATTGAAGCACCACATACCTCGTGTTCCCTCTGCATGCGAACGAGCATAGCGGCATCCTTCCTCCCCTTCACAATATGAAGCATCGCGATGTCCCGCATCGCCGCCTTGCTCAGCCTCTTGGTCACGCTCGAAGAAAGCTTCGCAAATGCCTCGTCTGTGGGCGCGAGAACGGTGAGGCGGTAGTAGCTCATTGCTTCTGGAAGCTCCTTGGCGATCCCTGGAGACAGGGGGATGGAGGGGGTGGAGAGCAGAGAAAAGTGGATGAGGCCTCGGTTCGGCCGTGGGCGCCAGGACGGTGAGGCGGTATTAGCTCAGCGCTTCTGGAAGCTCCTTGGCGATTCCTGGAGGCAATAGACGGGGGCGGGAGAGTAGGGTATGGAAGAAGGGCTCATGCAAAGGCGTCTTCTGTGGGCGCGAGGACGGTGAGATGAGACGGTAGTAACTCATCGCCTCTGGAAGCTCCTTGGCGATTCCTGGAGGCAATAGACGGGGGCGGGAGAGTAGGGTATGGAAGAAGGGCTCATGCAAAGGCGTCTTCTGTGGGCGCGAGGACGGTGAGATGAGACGGTAGTAACTCATCGCCTCTGGAAGCTCCTTGGCGATTCCTGGAAAAAACGGTGGGGAGGAAAGGAGGGAACACTGATGGGAGCTTGGCAAAAGCCTCGTCGGTGGGTGCAAGAACGGTGAGACGGTAGTGACTCAGTGCCTCTGGAAGCTCCTTAGGAATTCCTGGAGACAGGGGGATGGAGGGGGTGGAGAGCAGGGAAAAGCGGATGAGGCCTCGTCTGTGGACGCGAGAACTGAGGCGGTAGTGATTCATTGCCTCTGGAAGCTCCTTTGCGCTGCCCAGGGGAGGACGGAGAGGATGGGGGGAATATGTACGGGGAAGGACGAGCGGGGAGCTTGGCAAAGGGGGCCTCGTCGGTGGGCGCGAGGACGGTGAGGCGGTAGTAGCTCATAGCTTCTGGAAGCTCCTTGGCGATTCCTGGAAAACAAGGTGGGGATGATGGGGAGGATAGGGGGAGTATTGTACCAGGAAGGACGAGCAGGGAGCTTGGCAAAGGCCTCGTCGGTGGGCGCGAGGACGGCGAGACGGTAGTAGCTCATAGCTTCTGGAAGCTCCTTGGCGATTCCTGAGAGAGTGAGGGTAAAGAAGGATCAACGGGAGGGGGAGCTTGGCGAAAGCGTCGTCTGTAGGCGCGAGGACGGTGAGGCGGTAGTAACTCAGTGATTCTGGAAGCTCATTGGCGATTCCTGTGGGGAGAATGGAGAGGAAGGAAGCCGGGGGAAAGGGGGTGAAGCCTCGTCTGTGGGCGCGAGTGGAGGCGGTAGTAGCTCATTGCTTCTGGAAGCTCCTTGGCTATTCCTGGGGGAGGATGGAGAGGATGGGGGGGGTATGCAGGGGGGAGGACGAGCAGGGAGCTTGGCAAAGGCGTCGTCTGTTGGCGCGAGGACGGTGAGGCGGTGGTAACTCATTTCTGCAGGGAGCTCCTTTACGATACCTGGAGGCAAATCGGGGCAAAGAGAACGAGAGGGGGCAGAAAGAGCGGGAAGATCAGCGTGAGTTGGAAAAGGCCTCGTCGGTGGGCGCGAGGACGGTGAGGCGATAGTAACTCATTTCTGCAGGGAGCTCCTTTGCACCACCTGGGGTAGGATGGAGGGAATGGGGGCAGTATGTAGGGTGGAGGACGGGCGGAGAGAGTTTTGCAAAGGCCTCGCCCATGGTCGCCGCGAGGTTGAGACGTCTCAGAAGTCGCCTGGGGGAGGATGGAGGGAACGGGGGCAGTATGTAGGGGGACGGACGGGCGGAGAGTGCTTTGCTAAGGCCTCGTCCATGGGCGGGAGGATGGTGGCGCGAGTCGTAAAGGAAAACGCGGGTTGACCGGGGGAAGGACGCGAGAGGGGAAAAGAAATAAAGGGAAAAATGACGAGCAGGGAAAAGAGGATCGCAGCAGGAGTATAGTACCTGTCGATTCGAAAAGCGACAGCGCAGTGTTGTAGCCTTTCTTCTTCATCTCCGCTATAAAAAACTGAGGAGCCTCAATAGGAGTACCGTTAGATTAACCTTGTAATTCTCAAGAGTACCTGTCGATTCGAAAAGCGACAGCGCAGTGTTGTAGCCTTTCTTCTTCATCTCCGCTATAAGCTTCTTCGCGCCGGTTTTCCCATCGTACTGGCGAGAGCTGCCATCATCGTCCGCGGCGCACAGCTCCGGAAGAACCACCGCGAGAAGCGCAAGCAGGAACAGCGACAATCCCCAGGGAGAAAGGCGACGCGCCATGGCGGATAAACGGGTAGCCGGCTCGTAACGCGTAGGCGGTTCTGCTGCTGGAGTGTTTTGATGGCTGGCTTGAGCGAACTAGTAGAAGCGAGTGCAGAGGGGAAAAGACGATTCTTTACTGATTATTACGCTTAAATCAAGAAACACCTTCTGCTGTTACCTCCGGCTGCAGCACAGCGGGCTAGCGGAACCTGTGTTGGTTCTTAGCTTAGCTTGTCTGATCGTCTCGCTGTATGTTGCGGCTATGTTGCTATATTCTGTTTGTTGTGTTCGCTGTGTTTCTATGTTGCTGGGCTCACGTGGACGATATTCTCTGCTCAATGCAAAGCGCACAGCAGTAGATGAACCAGGAAAATCATCAAAGTCATAGCGACTGGCTCAAATGGGAGGGAGGGAGGTATGCTGGCTGGAGCCTGGAATTGTTGGCGCAGTGTGGGACAAATTTCTCCTGGCTTGGAATTGATGCCAATTTGTTGGTGACGCGGGGAGGCTGGAATGATTGTTTGTGGTCGGTAGATCGACCGTTCGGATGGGCTTTGCACCTTGGATGGACGAACGAGATTGGAGGTGATGGTTGAGAAGGGCGGCAGTTCAGGTAGGGCGGTGCGGCGATGTGGGGTGCGCCGCCGTCGCTTCGCCATTGGGTTTGGCAGGACACGGCGGTCGATACACACCACAAGACAAAATATCCGCTAGAGACACTAAGTAAAACAGCTGCACCATTAACACCTCCAACTAAAAGAATGACACCCGGCAAAAGCATCCAGCAAAACTGCTCTATGTACTACATAATCTACCATTTCTCAGTCCAAGGCCTGAGGTCCACCTCAAACGTCCAGCCACTCCTCTTCTGCATATGCAACGACCAATACAGCTCCGCCACATCATCAGGCTGCACCAACCCATCCACCTTCTCCTTCTCCTTAACCATCTCCTGAAAATTCTCCCTAATCCACAGTGTGTCAACGGCCCCATCAATCACCACATGGCAAACATGTACCCCCTGGGGACCTAATTCTTTAGCTAAGCATTGAGCCAGAGCTCTTAGCGCATGCTTAGCTCCAGCAAAGGCAGAAAACCCTGCAGCACCGCGAACGCTTGCAGTTGCGCCGGTGAAAATTATCGTGCCGCAGTTTCTGGGAAGCATCTTTCTCGCAGCCTCACGAGATGTGAGGAAGCCTGCCAAGCATGCCATTTCCCAAACCTCGAGGTTCGGATGACATCATTTTCAAGGGGGTTAGAGGGGTTCAAACGACAGACGGTTACATTGAGTCCAGCTATAGAGAAGAGAACAGCCTCCGAGTAGCTTTCTGAAAGCTTCACACCAGAATGCCATCTGTTGCACAAGTTGGATAATTTCTGTAAGATTGGTGTGCCCCATTACACCTGATTACATAAGGCGTGTCAGCTGATCACCCATCAGCCCAAAAAAAAAAAAAAAAAAAACACCTGATTGATTGCACCTGACACACCATTACATGGATCCAATTGAACCTAGCTTGGCTGGCTTGACATCTCTCCACCTCTCTCTCTCTCTCTCTCTCTCTCTCTCTCTCTCTCTCTCTCTCTCTCTCTCTCTCTCTCTCTCTCTCTCTCTCTCTCTCTCTCTCTCTCTATCTCTCTCTCTCTCTCTCTCTCTCTCTCTCTCTCTCTCTCTCTCTCTCTCTCTCTCTCTCTCTCTCTCTCTCCCCATGTACAGCTGACACACCTTGAAGTAAACTCTCAATGTTGTGTCCATCACATCAGATTTGACATTCGCCCCAATGTTGAAAACCATCACATGGATGAAGGCAAACATACCCGTCTCTTCAAAGCATACAACTGACACACCTTGATGTAAACTCTCGAAGTTGTGTCAGGGAGTTTTTGAAATTTCTCAAAAACTCTCTCAAAAGCATACAATTGACATACCTTGAAGTAAACTCTCGAAGTCGTGTCCACCACATCAAACTTGACATTCGCTCCGATGTTGAAAACCACCACCCAGACCGGACCTATTTCCGCCTCCACTGTGGCAAACAGTTGAGCCACCTGGTCTGCAGGGAGGAAAGGAATGGGAGGAGCCGGGAAAAGAGGAAGAGAGACAGGAGAAATCCTAGAGCTACTTGCTCCGATGTTGAAGACCATCACATGCATCAGACCGATTTCCGCCTCCACTGTAACAAACAGTTGAGCCACCTGGTCTGCAGGGAGGAAGAGAGGGAGGAGCGATATCTACTGGCCTGGAGGAGCCGGGAACAGAGGAAGAGACACAGGAGCAATATCAGAGCTGCTGAACCCCATCACATGGATCGGACCGATTCCCGCCTCCTCCACTGTAGCAAAGGAGACTTGAGAGGAGCCAGAAGAGGAGCCGGGAGAGAATTTGAACTGGTGTGGGATGGATTAGGGTTGAGTCGTCACTCAACTTCTCTCCTTCCCTCCTTTTGAAGCACCTCAAGAGAGTTTGAGTCAACCCACGCCCATACCCACCTTTCACCTGTCACTCACCTTGATCACTCAACTACCCGCCTCTCACCTGTCACCCACCTACCCCCCCGCGCACCCGTCATCACTCAACTTCTCTCCTTGCCTCCACCTCAAGTCCCACAGCCTTTCCTTTCCGCCATCTGGCGCTCCCCACGGTTCCTTTCCTTTCTTCAACTCATATTCAGAGTTTATCCCACCACGTCACTCCCATATCGTGTTGACTTTTGAGTCGACTCAAAAGTCAACCCTTTTCTTTCCGCCTTCTGCCGCCCCTCCTTCAACTCATATTCACAGCTTAGCCCCACGTCCCTCCGCCTTCACTCTCCTTCTCTCTCCCTACTTCACCCAACATCACTCCCTATCTCCCCCCATACTTCACCCAACATCACTCCCCTTTCTCCCCCCATACCTCACCCAGCATCGCTCACCTTCTCTCCCAGCGTCCACTCCGAATCGCACAGCGTTCCTGCCATCTGCTGCTATTCCATCCACTAGTCATTGGAGCTTCGATCCATTTCTCCGCCTTCACTCACCTTCTCTCCTCCTACCCCACACTGGATCACTCATATTCTGGCTCCCATCCCACTCACCTTCTCCCCTAGCGTCCACTCCAAATGCCACTGCTTTCCCGCCATCTGCAGTAATCTCCTCCACTAGCCGTTGGAGCTAAGACCCGTCTTTCCGAACCTAAAACCAAACCAGCGTCTCTGCTCGCTCACCTTCCCTTTTGGCGTCCACTCCAAATGCCACTGCTTTCCCGCCATCTGCTGGTATTTCCTCCACCAGCCGTTGGACCTTGGATCTGTTCCTCCGAACCTAAAACAAAACCAGTGTCTCTCTTTACTCACCTTCTCTTCTGGCGTCCACTCCAAACGCCACTGCTTTCCCGCCATCTGCAGTTATCTCCTCCACTAGCCGTTGGAGCTTGGATCCGTTCCTCCGAACCACCACCGCCACATATCCTTCCCTGGCGAACCGCCGAGCCACTGCCGAGCCTATGGCGTCTCCCGCACCTATTACCAGAGCTACAGGCTCGGCAGGAGGGGAGTCTGATGGCGACGAGTGGCTTGAATGTCGTGAGTTGGTCTGGGAAGGCTTTTCTCCTGCTTCTGCTGCTGCTGATTCTGCTGCTGATTCTCCTGCTTCTGCTGCTGCTGCTGCTGCTGCTGCTGCTGCTGTTGATTCTGCTGTCGTTGAATCTCCGTAAATGTCAGAATTTCTATGTGAGGCTGTTTGCGGGACCTTTTGTTGCTGCTGCTGACGCCCATGAATAATCCCTAAATTCCGCGTCTCAGTACCTGTTTCTCTAATTAGTGTGGGGTGAGCAGCAGGCTCACAGCGGGCTGATTCGTCGGCGACAGGATCGGCGACAGGATTAGCAACAGAAGCAGAAGTCGAAATTCGGATGAGGGGAGAATGCGTAGAAGCACCATCATCAGCTGTACAGTGCGAAGGAGAAAATAGCGGGCACTCCAGTCGACTCAACAGCGGGGATGGTGCTGAGGCACCCGAGTGCAAGAAGGATGGGCCAAAGGATGCGCCAGTGTCAGATTCGATACAAGGCAACGGGGAATTGAGACGGGGATGAACGAGTTCATCAGGCTGAGGTGCGATGTGGCGGGAAAAGACGGCGAGACGCGAAAGAGACCGCGAATTGCATGCCATGACACGCGAGAGAATCCTAAAGGTTGGCTTGTGCGAAGTCTCGGCGGGGATCTACTTAGCATTGTAAAAGGTTTTACCTCAATGGACTTAGAGAATGCCTGCAAGCCCTTGGCGGGAAATTTGAATATGTGCTCATACCCCACGTAAGAAGATTACGGGTGTCAGCATTGAATGCTAGCATTTGTAAGGAAAAATCCTTTCCTTTCGCGTCCCTGCTCAGCGCGTACACCACTGTTTCCCGCCAACAACACCCAACAATAATCCGTTCCACTCGCGACACTCGACTCTAAACTGTCCCCGCCACTGTTCACGACGCAACCCAACCTCACGGTTCGGTTGGTAAACCGCGCTCCGCACCTCCGCCTCGACAATTCCCAACCTCGGCGCTAGGCCCGTCGCGCACCCCAATCTCCACACATTACCGTTACCACTGTAGTTTCGCTATATACATATTCTTCGCTCATACCTTCGCGGATTGTACTCTTGCTTCGATAGTGCAATTCTCGCTCGCTCACTCAATTGCACTCGTAATACTTGGTATTCATTGCCTACGATCTCCTCTCGGACCGCACCCACACCTTCACTTCCCCACTATCTCAAATTTGGGGGGGGGGGGGGGGGTAGACGCCTCTCAGCGAACAAGCACCGCCGCTGGAAGTTCTCTCTCGTAAGCACGCACGGCCACGACAGAGGCTCTCGCTGAGCTTGCCCGACACCCCCGCCATGGCTGAAATTAATCTCGCGACACTGACGCAAGAGCAGCTCGACCGTCTCGTGCGCCAACTCGAAGATTCGGCACTCAAAATTGGGACACTCACGGCGGAACGCGACTCCGCTCGCTAGCAATCGACGGTGAATGCACCAGCACCAACAAATGCACCTGCACAGTCGGAGGAGCTGATCCTCATCTCATCAGGCACACCGACACAAAACGACAGCGTGGGACAACGCTCTGGCGTAGCCAGCGATGGCGCTGCTCACTCAATGCCTGTCATGGAGAGAAATAGGGCCGCACCAAGCCCGCGTAAGCCTCGCGAAGTCCGTCGGCACGTGGAGTTTGCAGCAACAAGCGGCAACCACGACATCATGGCACCAATGCCACTCAAGCCGCAGCGCCCGCCCTGTTTCGATCCAAGCCAACGTGGAGGTCCGACGGTTCAATCGTGGGTCTTCACGATGAACGTCTTCTTCGACGCGAATTACGTCAAGTCGGACGAAGCGAAGATTCGCTACGCTGTTTCGCTGTTGAGGGGCCCCGCCATGGACTGGTGGCGAGTCATCGTGACATCGCCACGCGCCTACGAGCCACCCTCGCAAGAGGAAGGGCCCACGGGCCCAGCCGTCACATGGAGTTCATTTTGCGAGACAGACCAGTACAGCACGTGGGATGCATGGTGCACGGGGCTTCGGGCGCGCTTCGAGCCGATCGCGGCTTCTATTTCGGCGCGTCAGAGATTGCGTACTTGGCGGCAGCTCGGATCAGTTCAAGACTATACGAGCGGTTTTCTCACATTATGCGAGCAAGTCGGCTACATGCACGAAGCGGAGTGGGTGGACCGATACGTCGGAGGGCTGAAGCCGGACGTCTCGCACGAAATCATGCTACTGTTAGAATATTGAAGTAAGGAATGACAGAACTAGTGGGTACAAGTAGGAAACCTAAAAGTGTTGTACCCTATATGAACTACCCGACTACAGCCTAGACAGGCTATAGCATATATGTTTGACACACCCCCATAGGCAACGTGGGGAGAACAAGAGCTCACAAGACCGGTCAAGAAAGGCAAAGCAAGCTCAGGGTGGATCACGACGTCACCACGCAGTCTGAGCACAAGCAAATGGCCACAAGGCCAATTCACATGCAGAGTTATATAAAGGAGAACAAGCAATACAGTGAACATAACCTAGCAAGTGTAAGCATGCATGTATATGTATAGAGATCACAGTACAAGCAGAGTCAAGAAGTGAGCAAGTGAGGCCAAGTAGGCACAAGTCCTAGCATAGTACACAAACACTGATGATCACAAGGCTGAAGTGCCTTGGTAAAGATATCAACAGTGTTGGCCAGAGTGGCCACGTAAGCAAGACGAAGCTGACCACGCTGCTGTAACTCTCGAGCAAGGAAGTAGCGCAGAGCAATGTGCTTCGTTCTTTGCTCCAGTCTGTGCTCCTGACACAAGGCAAGCATGGCCTTGTTGTCGACGTACAGAACTGGAGGAGAACGAGGCACCTCTCCCAAGTCGGTCAGCAGGTAGGTAAGCCAGCGTAACTCCTGTGCAGCCATGGCCCCAGCGTAGATCTCAGCCTCACAACTGGAGCTGAGAACAGAAGAAGAGCGGGTAGACCGCCAAGAGACAGAGCCGGAGCCAAGGCTGAAGGTGTAACCCTGTGACGACCGCTGCGTAGCCAAGTCGTCAACCCAGGAAGCGTTTCCATGACCAGTGAGGACAACTCGAGCCCGTCCTCCAAGCACGAGCCCCATGCCCGACGTACTGCACAAGTAGCGCAACACCCTCTTCGTAGCATCCATGTGCTCCTTCCTGTGTCTGCCAGGAGCGACATAGCGTGCTAGAATGCTAAGAGGGTAGGCAAGGTCAGGTCGAGTGCAGGTCATCAGGTACATGAGGCAGCCCACAAGCTCTGGATACGGGCCACTCGGCTCTACGGACTTGTCCGAAGGTGGAGCTGAGAGCGAGTGACCGGTAGGCAGAGGAGTGGACTATGGCGAGGAGTACGTAAAGCCGAAGCGCGGAAGGACCTGCTGCACCATGTGTGACTGAGTCAAGGTAATGGTGCGCTGTGCTCTGTCCCGGGTGATCCGCAAGCCAAGATAGCTTGTCAGCTCACCCAGGTCTGTGCACGTGTGTCTCTTCTGCAGCTCCAACTTCACGTGGGCGAGTGC